AGATCACCATTTGCATTGGCGGCGGAGAGATCGTTGTACTACAGTACTAGCATACATCCGCAGCAATAACGACTCCTCCCGAAACAAACTACCAAGATCATACTGTAATACACTCAATACACTATCAACCCAGTAAACAAATAAGATGCAAGGCACAACAGGGTTTTCCTACTTTGTGGCGTTTGCCAGCGTCATTTCGGTATTCATGAGTTTCTTCTTTGCGGTGGAATTCCCCGTGATTGTGCCCTACTTTGAGAATCGCAACAGCCCCAAGACGTGGTGCATACAAGGATTGCAAGCCGTGTTGTTTGTGGGATTGGCAGGCGCCGTCTCGTTTTTGACTTGGTCGGCCATTGAAGGCAATTTCAGTATCCTCTTTGAAGCGATTGCCATTTTGTACATTTGCCTGTTTTTGTTTTACGTTGGCTTTGCCCACAAGGACGTTCCCGTCATCAAATCAAGCTTTCAAAAATACGCAATGCAAATCGGAGTGGTCTTTTATATCATTATGCTTCCGGGACTCGTTTGTTTTGCACTCTCCTATCGCAACCAAACCTTGACGGCGGAGTACCGCAAGATTGACATGCACATTCAAAACAGCACGGTCGAGTTTGACGGTCAATATCCATGTCATGATGGGAATGGAGGTGATTGCGGGGCATACAAGGCTACTTTCAATGTCAATTGGGGACACGAATGGGCGTGTCCCGACCATAAGGATGTTTGGTGTGACGAATGGATTGTGGAACCGGATTGCATGGTTGTGGTTGAAGAATCCACCACGACGCTCAATGATTTTACAATGTATGCAGCCCAGGTCGAACAATGCGTTCAGGAAACTTATGGACTTCCGGTCATGGGACAACATCTAGACACTTCGAAATACCCTGACCTAAAGGACAATTGGCCCGAAATTCCATTCTTGGGATCCTGCTCATCCCGCTGTTCCGCCAAACCGCTGGACACGGATATGTTCCTAATTGCCGAGAGAATCAAGCTTGCGGGACTTGTTCTCAGCTGTTCGGGTGCCTTTCTTTTCTTTATCTATTACTCCCTCATCTTTGGACAAGATATGAAGGATGTTTGCACTGCCTGTAGTCGGCAATCCAAACACTTGCAACACAATTTTCTGCCCTTTCGATGGATGCTACATCATCGAGGAGTACTTGGTGGTGGTGGGGGGGCTGTCAGTAACAGTACGACAAGTCACGAAAGGAATTCGGATTCGGATGATTTCAGTACTCATGATAGTGCTGCTGATGGTAGTGATTCCAATGGTAGTCATGATGGACATGATGAGGAAGAAGGAGGAGGATCCAGGTCGGATCAGGAAGACGGCAGCAGCAGTAGCAGCAGTGTGGAAATGGAAATGGATCAAACGACGCGGGCGCCCTATAACGGTCCAGTCATGGCGAAGGCAGAAATTTTGTACTCGTCGTCGGATGACGAAGATGATTATGATGATGATGATGATTACAGCAGTGACGACGACGAAGAGTCTGGATCCTATCATGATAGTAATGATGAAATGTCCTCCTCCTCCTCACAAGAAGACGACGACGACTCTCAAAAAGAAGAAGAATCGTCATTGGCATCGCTGGATGCTAGCAGTGGGAGCGGTAGTTGCTGCGATGGTGCTGGTGAAAGCCTGGAGGATGTTGAATTGTCTGCGGAACCATGTGGATCTTACAATAATAGCCAACAAGAAGGAGAAGAGCAAGAAGAAGTGGGTTCATTGTCATCGACCGGCGAGTCACGATGCAACAAGTCAACGTCGACCGTTTCCAAGGTAGAAGAAGTGGAAATTGACGTCTAGTGGGGTGAAAGATTGAGTCCTACCATGAAGCTACTACTACCATGTAGTGATGTATGAATCAATCACTGAATCATTCAATAATTCATCCATTCAATGAATCAATATCATGCAGAAATGAAAAACAGGGAATGAAGGTTTTGTATTATAATGGCTTGCTTGGGATCATAACAAGCCTGACTGTACTAAATATATATTGTGCTAGGTAGAAGACTGAACATTCAAATAAGTCTAGTATTGTGTTGTGCAGTGCTGCTTTACTTTTTACTTCCACTTTGCCCAAGCATACTCGATGCCTTCTCCAACACTTTTCGGAGTTCAGAAGTTGCTTTTGCTCTGCATTAGGCGTTGTCAATGAACCCAACCCAACTATTGTTGGTTTATTTTTATTGACCAATAGAAGGGCAGTATTTTTCCCGATATTTGACCACCCCCTTTGAAGCCACGAACCAACGATTTTTGGGAAAAAGCCGGTAGTTTAGGGAGACGTACGATATCTCGTAGATATATTTGCCTACTTATTTTTCGTCGAAAAATAGCATGACCCAACTATTCTTTGTTTAAGTTTGGGCTACGTTTACTCAAAATTGAACTGTTCCACACGATAAATCTAAAACATTGGACAAGAATTGTAAATCTTTTATCCCGCGAATCAATTATCTCCGGGTCATTGAAGACCCAACTATAATATAGTTGGGTCTCTTTTCGGCACAACTATTTTTTTTTTTCTGACCCAAACCAACTATTTTTTTTTTTGGCTCGACCAATCACAGCTGCCCAAAAAAAAGAAAAAGAGTTCATTGACAACCCCTATTCTGTCGTCTATCAATACCATTACTGAACACAGTGAGTTCGAAGTAGTCGACCTCTTTTCTTTCCCAAACGACTGTACGATGTTCCACTCCTCCCAAGCTTCCCAACCCAAATTGAAACTTCCCCATCACCGGCCAATGGATGTGGTATGGCTGAAACGTGATGTTAGACTACAGGACCATGGTCCACTATCTCATGCGGCTAGAACCAAAAACCCAGTCATTCTGCTCTTTTTATATGAACCAGACCAGCTCGTAGAACCAACTGTGCATGGATCTCATTTGTTATTTGTCCACGAAGGATTGGTGGACTTGGAACGGCAGCTATTACTGCAACAACACCACGGGGAGGAAAAGACAACAATCGATTATTTTCAATACATGACAGTTTCCCACTGCTCCGCAATCGATGCCTTTCAATTCATTCACCGCAAGTATACCATCCATCGATTACTTGCCCATCAAGAAACAGGTCACTGGCAATCCTTTATGCGAGACAAGCAAGTTCGAAAGTTTTGTCGCTCCAATTCAATCCCTTTCACCGAGTTCAATCAGACGGGAGTGACGCGATGTCTCAAGTCGAGGGATGATTTCAGTGCCAAGTTCCAAGCTTTTATTTCTCAACCACAGCATTCGACACCAGACATTCCTATACTTTGCCAACAAATCGTCCAAATGAAGGATATTCCTGGATTCATGCCCAACTTGACGCTATCACTAGACCAATTTTCAGAAATTCCAAATGCACACCGCCAAGATAGACCAGACCGACAACAGAAAGGGGGGCTGTCAAAGGCTTATGCGACACTCGATTCCTTTTTATCGGAGCGTGGATCCAAGTTCTCTCAAGGGATCTCGTCACCCAATACGGCATGGACTACATGCAGTCGGTTGTCCCCCTATTTGACCTGGGGACATATATCACATCGACATGTCGTACACGCCCTGAAGCAACGGCAAGAACAGCTTCGGAAAATGAAACAACAGGGGCGGAATATTGGGACTTGGTTGAAAGGGTTGCAAGTATTTTCGTCCAGGGTTCATTGGAGGTCACATTTCATTCAGAAACTTGAATCCGAGCCCACAATGGAGAAAAGGGATTTGTGTCCAGCATACCAAGATTTGAGGAGAAAGAATGATGATTGGAATGAAGCATACTACCAGGCGTGGGCACAGGGAAAGACTGGTTTCCCCTTTGTCGACGCTTGCATGAGGTGCTTATTACAACATGGTTGGCTGAACTTCCGCATGCGAGCAATGCTGGTTTCGTTTGCCACCTATAATCTCTGGCTCGATTGGAAAAAGCTTGCGCCACACTTGGCCCGAGTCTTTTTGGATTATGAACCGGGGTAAGTCAAGTCAAACAGTTCTCGATGCAAACAATCAAAGCAATTTCCCTGACCATATTTTGCATTGGTGCTACCTATTAATACCAATACCGCCACAACTCAGGATACATTATCCGCAGTTGCAAATGCAATCGGGGACCACAGGTATCAATGCAATGCGAGTATACAATACTACTAAACAAGGGAAGGATCATGATACAGAAGGAAACTTCATTCGGCGCTATGTTACTGAATTGAGAGAGGTTCCTACAGAGTATATTCATGAGCCTTCCAAGATGCCGCTGTTTCTTCAACAACAATGCAATGTGGTAGTAGGTCGGGACTATCCCAAACCTATTGTCCATGAGCAAGAATCAGCCAAGGTTGCGAAGAAAAAGGTTGCTGACGTGAAGCGCCAAAGTGAGACCAGATCTATGGCAAATCAAGTGTACATGAAGCATGGAAGCAGAAGTCGTGGAAGAGAAGAAATGGAGGGTAGGAAACCAAAGGCGCTTTCGAGTTTTGTGGAAAGAGACGACCCCTCCAATCAACCCACAATCGCTGCTGTGTTTGAGCGAAGCATGCTGAAGCAACAAGTTTCGATTGAAAGCCGGATACATGTATCCATGGCTGATTCGACCATTTCTTGCGAAGACGGTGCTAATGACAGCGACAATAAGAGCAAGAGCATTGCGAGTGACGAAGAAATGCCAACCAAAGCAGCGGACAATTCAATCAAGAGACTTTTTATTTCAATGAACGGCTCCGCACAGACTGGCGCAAAGCGTCAGAAGCAAAAGCCAACAAAGACTTCTTTTTGGACGTGCAGGGCATGCACGTTTTTGAACGACAAGCCACTCGGACTGGTCTGTTCAATGTGTTCGACTACAAGGCACAAGGGATCGTTTTGAATAGTATAAGGCCGGCTGGCCCATGTGATAATCCGAGTACACGAGATCCGCCATCCTTCTCACACAATGCCCTCGGTTCAATCCACGTTTGATGTATTATATTTAAAACGCTATTCGTGAGAATATATAATTTAGTTTAACCCTTCATAATCTTTGGACCATCGTCGTCGTCATTCTTGGGCTTTTCTGAGCGTTGCTGCGCTTGCTGACTTCCCCAGCCACCAGAGGAATCCTGCCCTTGGTACTTTTGTTCCTCGTCTCCTTCAAAGGTACCCAGGTCCGCATCTTGTCCACGAGCTGCTCGCTTTAATGGCGCTGGCAACAAAACCTTATCAATTAATCCATATTGCACAGCTTCATCGGAAGTCAAGTAAAAATCTCTGGTGAGATCCTGATGAATCTTTTCCACAGGTTGTCCAGTTAATTGCGAGAGTTCGTATTCCATGCGGTCGTTTGACTTTTTGACGTTTCGCACCTCCAAGGCTATATCAGTAGCTTGTCCTCTAAATACTTCATCCATTCCAGTGCGTTGCAGCAAAAAGCGAGAGTTTGGCATGGCCGATCGCTTTCCCTTGGTTCCAGCAGCAGCCAAGAATGATGCCATCCCCGCACATAGACCAAGATTGACAGTTTCAATTTCGCAATTTTGCTTGGTTTGTTGAAGCAAGTCGTAAATGGCCAGTGTGGGTCTCAATAGTGCTCCTGGGACATTGAAATAAATACTGATATCCCCCTTGTAGTCCTCTTTTCGCATGTACAGGATTATGGAAATAATTTCATTCGCCGCTTCTTCGTCAATGAACTTGTTGATCATGATGGTTCGATCGCGGTACATGGCAGAGTTGATATCAACAAACTGTGCGACATCCGAGCCAGGTGCCTAGGATTGGTGAGGCAACGAAATGGTGAGTGGGGAATTCCAAAACAAATAGTAGTTACGATTGAAAGCATGTGGAAACTGGGACCTAGTCGGCCAGTCGTCCATTGACTACCTGGTCCCGTACCAACATCGCAACAGGACAGAATCAGGAACAAAACCCCTCCGTACCTTCCAAGGAACCATGGGAGTCTGACTAGGCATCATGATGGTGTCTCGTCGTGTGGCCATGCGTGTCGTACGCTTTTGGGTCAGCATGTAACTGTCAGACAGCGACATGCCAGGCATATTATGGCTGTTCAATGAAAGAGCTTCCGTACTCGAGAGCAGACAGAGCATCGCAATGGCTTTGCTGAAAAATCCTGTCATGTTGCTGCGTTGTAGATATTGAAATACAAAGAATTGTCTATCTACTTTATTGCATATGATCCATTGATGATGCAGCAACTGTTGCGCTTCTTTGAGTTCTTGCAGTCCAATGGGTCCACAAAAAGACTGTTTCTGCTCCGCTCCATCCCACGTGGAAGCAAATAAGAATCCGATCATAGATAATCAGTTGTATAGTTCTACTGTACTTTACAACAGGTTGGATGTGATGTAGGTTCATTAGTAATTAGATTACAGTATACAATGGTACGCTTCATGATACCGATCTTCATCTCCGATGTCTATTGATATGATATCGCCCTCTTCCTGTAGTGAACAAATGATCAATCACGACCAAAAAGAAGGTTCCTAAGGTACTATAGTATCGATTTGCTCTCGAAACATGCACCAACCAATACCAAACGGTCATAAGTGGAGTGTCGCGTACATGGACTTCTCCCAAATTACAGTTCTCGAACCTCGTACTAGATTCCGCATGATGGGGTTTTGATTGAATGGCATCCTCGATGATTCAATCTTCCTAAAGCTGACTGTATATGATGAGACTCTGCCTCTTGTCACTTTTTGAATTTCTTTCTTCCTGTTTTTGTCACGTGATCCATTGTTGATCGTTTCTGTATAAGACCTTCTTGTTCAGGATGAAGCGGAGGAGGAACGAATTCCACTAGTGTATGATCTTCGCCTTCGAGTTCTTCGTCAATGATTTCAGAAATCAATTCCCAATCACCCCCTGCCAGTCCTGCTCCGATCATTGGATACCCAATCCGCAATCCTGAAAATTCTTGCTTGAGTTTTGAAAAGACACCGCGAATGGCATGATAATCTGCCCTGACACCTTTACCTTTCCAATGAAATTGAGTATAGGCATTCACAATGTAAAATTGGATAGTAGTACTGTGGTCATCACCTCTTTGGATATGGGTGGTTGTATAGGTACCCAATTTGTCAAAATCTCCTGCTGTGGTCTGCTTGTCGGCTATGAAGGCTTCGGGAAATTGGATCTTGATGCTTTTGGCAATCCCGGCGCCCATGTGGCCCTGGCAGTTGCAGCCATGGACGATGACATCAAAGGTGCGTTCCACGGCAATGGCTAGCAAATCTCCCTGGAGTTTCTTCATCTTCACAGCAGTGTGGTTCTTGCTGAGCAAAGACAGACAAAACCTTCAAAGATGAAAAGAGAACAAATTGACAAACGATCATGAAATCTATCATCGAAACATTTTATGAATGAAACGTGGATATAGAGTATTTTAAAAAATGTAAAATACATCGCGTAGCGATAGACTTACTAGGAAGATGATAAAAGTAAAGGAAAGTTGATAGACGTTCGTAAAAGGAAATCTAGAAAGTTGTGATGATGTGTGTGGTCCATCACCGATTCTTGCATAGCGGTCAAGGATGCAAGCATTGCAAGGTCCATGTTGACTTGCTTGATTGACTTGGTCATGGCAGTGCCAAAATCGTTGTCAAAGAGCTCTTCTGCCATACGTTGAGCGTCAGTTTGTCCTTGGAAATTCCCAGTGTCAGGGATTTGACATAAAACCATGGCATCATAGATTGTAAAAACAGGAATTGCGGCGGCCATTTTGCCTATAAAAGTGATTCCTTAGTTAGTTCGTTTGTATTGGTGTTGCATTCGTTACACCTTTGACAGTTTTACATGGTCGAAACCGGTGATGTAGCACCATTGACACGATCGAAATCGGCTTTGCACATATTAAAAAATATTGCAGTATTTGTATTCATAATTCGTTCATTTGAATGCATTTCATTGAATAGCTTTTGCTTTCATAGCTATTGGGTCGTGATAAACAATGTAAAATACGTCGTGTAGCGATAGACTTACTATGAAGATGATAAAAGTAAAGGAAAGCTGATAGACGTTCGTAAAAGGAAATCTAGAAAGTTGTGATGATGTGTGTGGTCCATCACCGATTCTGTACGTTACCGCGTACAGACTATGCGTGCGTATCTAATAGCATGGTGACCTTTATTTGAAAATATATGACTACCGTACTACTCGCACAGCAAAAGCAGTCGGATCGTAATTTTTTTAAATTAACGGACAGTCGTTGTTTTCACAAGTCTTGATTGAAAATTTAAAAAAACAGCATGTTCAGCTCGATCAGTCCATATTCGGCCTCAATCATGTCAATGCTAGCCAATCTGTTATGAAATGACGATCATTCATTCATTCTTCCTCCTTTTGATAGTGTCATGTGCCATTATGTGCCCTCTTGAACTTCTTGAAGGTGCTGGCTGCGATCTATCATCATACCACATGGCATGGAGTCACGTTTGCTATTGCATTTAGAAATATATGTACCTACAGTACAGTATATGATTGAAAAGAGGAGAAGAAGATGATTTTATTCTCTTGTGCTGGAGCGGCCTGAAATGGTAGGCTTGCTGGGAATGTCCTCAGCGATGTCGTATAGATTGCCTATCAAGGATGACGGAAGCTGACTTGCCGGTGACAGACTCTGCGCAATGCAGAGCTTGGGCTTCGCTGAAAACGAGCCTGCCTAAAGATTCATTTCATTCGTGGACGTTCCGTTGAAATGGGTGAACTTCGTCGGACACTTCGTCGGACCGACGAAACTTCGTCGGATCCGACGAAACTTCGTCGGACCCGACGAAACTTCGTCGGACCCGACGAAACTTCGTCGGACCCGACGAAACTTGGTCGCATTAGAAACAGGGTAGATTATTTTTAAACCTCTTGATCGGATTAATCCTAAATCTATTACTCAACTGAGTACAATTCGTGGTTGACGTTTGAATTTCTGAAAGCATGCAACATGTCTGTAGCAGGAGCGATGGTTGGTCTTCTAGGTCTCATAGTTTCTGGAGGAGCGATGCCATCAGCCACAAATCTTTCAGCCAGCTTACCCATCACTTTTGAAACTCTTCTGAACCAGTTCTCTCCACGCTCCTTAAAGTATCCAGGATATATACCCAAATGAGCCACTGAACCGAAGTTGGCTACATTTAGGCTGAATCCTTCCTTCCCTTTGGTCTTGATTCCGTCGTAGTACTGGAAGAAAATAAAAAGAGCTTTTTCGTCTTTCACAGTCAGCAGCTTCGTCATTGGGTCGCCTGCATCTTCCTTCTTCCTTCTTTCTGCTTCAAACTTGGCAAAGTCTTCATTTGTGAAATGAGGCCTGTAGGAAGCCAGATCTAAATTTTCACCGAGCCCAGCCAGGCCTTCAGCTATGAGATATATCTTTCGAGCTTTGCTTCGAAACTGGGATGTGGTCAGAACCTTGTCGCACAAGTTTCCTTTTTGATGATGTCGGCACCCTACTCGTCGGTTACTGTCATTAACAACCCATCCACACACACCCTCTGAAACAAGTCCATCGTAGTACCCAAAGAAGATGAAAAGGTCGATCTTTGAATCTTTGTACCCTTCTAGTTTCTCAAGGTGTGTGCGCTCGTCTTTCTTTCCTCCTTTTGTTCGAGGCATGATGGCAAGAATCTTGTTTTGTGCAGCTCTCCATTTCAGTACGCAATCGCTTTTTACATTAAAATATATATCATTCCCGTTTTCATTCCCACAAGATTGCCATCACCGTTTCAGCGACGTAGTTAAAAAAGTAGCAAAACCCATGGGCCAAGTGATCCTTTTCTGGTCACTTTTTCCGTTGAATTTTAGCGATTCCATTCCCTCCGACAACTCCACCACTCCCGAGTTTGTCCCAAAAAATAAAAACATGTCCTCACAAAATAACATTCAACAACTTGACCTCCTTTCAGCTTGCCTCTTCAAATTTTACTTGACATCACCCAACGCCTCCAGCAACAAAAAGGATATCGGCTCTGTAAAACATCTTGAGCACCTACTCGAAAACGAAGACGTCAAAGCAAACCAACAGCTTTCCAATCTTTTGAAAAACATCAAGCGCCAAACGTTTCGATCGAAGTCAAATAAAATGGCCGATCTTGCTTCAGCATACAACGCCAGTGGGTATGCTCAGGCAGCACAAGCTAACCTTCCCCATGAGATGCAGTCGGTGAGATTGAATGCACCAGTGAAGAAGACGAAGAAAGCAGACGTCGGCGGGGGCAAATCACCACATTTTCGCATGCCGGCTACATCTGGTACTTTCCAACAAGTCCACTACGAAACCACAAATGTTCACGGCATTCCTGTACCTGAGGAAGTGACATATACTGTGCACATGATTGAAATGCTTCCTTCAGTGTGTGCTGGGGACTTAAAGCATGAATGGACCAATGACCACCAAATGAAGATTTCATTCAAGCACTCCGATCCGATGAGCTTTCCGATGATGCTCTTGCCGCTCTTTCATCGCGGAGGCAAACTTGCATATGGCCAAGATTCTGCCTTGGCCACCTCAATGGAGCAAAATGTCGCTGGTAAAAGGGGACCGGATGGGCACGTGTGGGATGGTGCGGTGATCAGCTATCCCGAGCCTCAAGACCCTGCCACCTACTCTCCCGGAGATGGACTTACTGGGTTCGATATTGTGGAAGTCCCACATGTTCGCACTGATGGCATCGAGGTAGCAATAAACATGCTCATTGTGTGCACTAGAACGCCGAAGGCAGTAAAGCAAACTGTTGACGTTGGGTTTGCTAAGTCACAAATCAAACTTCAAAGCACTTGGGGACCGCAAGCTGCAAATGGAGGCGGTGGTTTCCAGTAAGTATCTTTATTGAAGAAATTCGACAACAGCAAATATTCTAATTTCTTCCGCTCTACTCGCTAATCCAAACAGAAATCCTTTCAACTTTGGGAGTCCAAGCTTCTCACCCTACACTACTTCCAATGGTAATCAACAAAACGCCGCTGCATTTGGAAACAATCAATTTGGTATGCCACCTTGTGCTGCTCCGTCCAACAGCAACCAACATAACGCCGCTACTTTTGGGAACCAATTTGGTGCGCAGCAACCTCCCCCTGCTCGATCTAATGGCATCCAAAGAAACCAATTTGGCACGCATTCACAAAACCCCGCTACATTTGGAAACCAATTTGGTAGCATGCAACCTCCTCCGAATCCATTTGCGGCTCCGTCCAATCCAAGCAACGGAATGCAGCCCTCCCCTATTTGCAAGAAACAGCAACCAAGAGCTGTCCCAAGCTTTGGCCATCCACCAAGCCAAATCAATGTATCCAAAGTCCGACTTGCTGAACCAGGAGATGCAGCATCGACTTCGTCAGCGCTATCATATGACAACGGTGGCCACATGTCCGTTGCAAGCTTGACTAGTCAAGTGGAGAATCTTGCAAGAGAGCTTGAGAACCAAAAAGCTGCAGCAGAACAAGTGAAAGCTATGGCCGAACAGGAGAAGCAACAACTGATGCACCATCTCAACCACCAACATCAGCAACTTCAAACGGCAGAAGCAATAGTATATCAAGCTGAAGCAGAGAAACAAACAGCTGAAGAATTGCAAAGGGTTGCGCTACAGGAGAAGACATTTGCAGAAAACGTAAAGGAGCAAGCTAGTGTGGTTCTACAGAGAGCTGAGGCACAAAGAAAGCTTGGAACTCATAAACGAATGCGACCGGAGCTCGAACGTGGAGCTTCAGCAGAAAACGAGGAGGGTGGCACTACACCTATGACCGACCGTAAGCCCCCCCCCCATTGCATCGCTTCCTCAGCCATATGTTGCGACCCAAGTCTCTCCTCAAGCCTCCCTTCAAGGTGAAGCAACTAGTTACTGAAATGAGGATGAGGAACCCAGCTGTTCAGGCCTCTCTGCCATGTTATCACTTGTCGACCTTCTTCGTGAAGAAATTGAATGCTTTGGTAAAAAGAAATATACTACACAATACTAAAAAAAAATATGTTTGCATGTAAAGAAGTTTTGCCGTTAATGATTGTGGTAAACAACATCGTAGTCTACATCGTAGAGTCGCCCATGAAATTCAAATTTTAGCTGTGTGATGACGACAACAGCCTTGAAGCAGAATCCATGCTGCTCTCTGGACAAATGACGAAAGACCTGGTCTAGAACCGCAAACTGCTTCAAACGGCCATTAACGATTTCGTGCCTTGCTCGTATAGCACTCTTTTGCTCTCGTTCGCTTCGGTTGGCTCCTGTCGCTGGATTCTTGAGTTTGAAATCTCCTTTGTATCCAGAGTCACATTCCACGCACTCCGAAGGTTCTAGGCTGTTGCGAAGCCCGGCTTCCCTGAAAAGTGTTATTTCGCTCTCTCCAGCCTTGAAAGGACCGTTAACCCAAACAATGTCTTTCCCAAAAATGGAATACCCAATTTCATAACGCCATGCTGGACCGTTAAATTTGTGCGAATACATTCCTCTGTTGAAAGGATAGAATTCCATACATGGACAGTCCACATCGTCAAGTGAGGCCAATGCTTGCGAGCGCTGGTTCCAATTCTTCCATCTATTGTTGAAATTTATCTTTAATGAAACAAAAGTGTAAGGAGTAAGTAAAGCAAGTCGAAATGAGACAAATCCGTTCTCATCCTCACTTACAACACGATTTACCAAATCATGAATTGCTTCAACGAAGGGCCAGCTCCGATTGCTGAATTCTCTGTCTGAGGTGCCAACTATACGGGAAAGAATTGGTAAGGTACAGTAGCATTTGAGAAAGAGAAGTGCCCAGAGAAGGTGTATTGGATGAGAACCATGAAGCTTGTGGTTAGCGTGTGGCTGGATCATGTTCCAAAGCTCAGAACACACTACATAGCTGCACCCAATCAACGATTCGTGGATCTCCCTGTCTAATTCCTTTGTCTTCTGCATATTACGATTTGGTCTGCCAAAAACATCTCTGGCAACTTCGGCATATTGCTGTGGAGAAATAAAACCTGCCATTTTCTATTTTGTGACCGTTTCTTGTTTTGTACTCGTAGGTGGTATTAAAATACCGTTTTTTGCCGTTGTTGCTTGTCATTCTTCTT